TCTGTGTTAATTGGTTTCCCTTTTCTTTGTTGAAGAGGGTCTGTGCAATCCTTCTGCCTAGTCCGCCATCTTGCCCCGCCTTCCCCGATACAACCTTTTCTGATCTGAAACCACGCAGTATCTCCTTCTTGTGTTCAAATGACTGCCTCTTGGTCTATGTACAGGTTCCTCATAAGCACCATTATGTGTTCTGAAATTCCCATTCTTCACAATGTTATCTATAATCTGTTATGATGCACACAGGCGAATGCCTCTGCCTCATCAATAAAACACAGATAAACATCTTTCTGGTATTCTCTGCTTTTAGCTGAGATCTATCTGACATCAGCAATGGCAATGCTATCCCTCATTCCATGTCCTTTTCTAAATCTGGCTTGAATTTCTGGCAGTTCCCTGTCTTGCTGCAATCATTTTTGAATGATTGTCAGCAAAATTTTATTTGCATGTGATATCAATGATACTGTTTAGTAATTTCCACATTCTGTTCAATCACCTTTCTTTGAAATGGGCACAAATATGGATCTCTTGCAGCTGAGTGCCCAGACAGCTGTCTTCCAAATTTCTTGGCATAGATGAGTGACCACAACCACTTGTCTATTATTTTGTCATACTGTGGTGGCTTGTGTGCAGCTGTGATGCTGAAAGGTATGCCACCAGTATTGTAAATGCCAACAGGGTCACTCATGGTAAACAGGTTTCAGGGGAACTTCCAGACTAAGACAGACTAGGAAGAAGGACCTGGCGATCTAAACTAAAACAGTCAGCCAGTGAAAACCTTATGAACAAGACCAGGTTACTGTTCTATTTACCTTTTTTCGACATTCATCTGTAACCAGTTTACAGTTTTCAACGGTATCTAAAGAGAAAAAGCAAAATAGGCATCAAAATAAATACTCTAATTGGTGCTATCACTACTATAAATTTACTATCTTTTAAGTTTAAATGCCAAGTTGACTAGCATGGTCATTACATTTTTTGGTTTTAATGAGTGCTCATTTATGCCACTGAGCTAGACAATTCAAAGTCTTTAAATACTGTAAATTGTGTACTGACTGTTCCATTTTCACCTCCCTTTTTAATTAAACAGAAGCAAGGAGTACATCTTTGAAATTTTTTTTTTTTCCTAATAAAAAGGTAACAGATGCTTAATGTAACAACCAGGAAAACACAGATTATTGGAAAAAAGAAAGTAATAAGTACTCACAATTTTACATTCAATAATATTGAATATTTTGATGTACTTTCTTCTAGTTCTAATGTTCTAGCATATCATTTAGATAAGATTATATCAGATCTATAATTTTGAAATCTTTCTTCTTTATTACACATTATAGCCTACCTTTTCCCATGTAATTAAAAGCTCACCATAAACATCATGCATAATAGTTGCATATGCTGCTATGTGGGCATAACATAATTTATGCCATCTCTGTAGTGTTAAATTTTTTAGATGGTTTCTAAGCCTTTGCTATGTACATATTTTTATGTTGAGCTTATTAATAACTACTATTTTTGTGAGTAAAGCATTTTTTCCTACATTTTAGATTATTATATGCTTAGAAATTCTCCAAAGAGGAATCACTGTGCCAAAAGTTATGAAGAGATTTACACAAATTATCAAACCGGTTTCACAATTTATAGATGCATAAATAATAAATGAAAAGGTGTTTTCATTGCTTGTCAGGTTGAAATATATTATATGAAAACTCACAGCCAAGTTGGAAAACACAGAAGGTGTTTTAACTGGAACATTTTAACTGGAAGTTTTTTTAATCACTGACTTTTTTACTGAATTTAAAAATATACAACATAAAAACTTGGTAAAATAACTAGAAAACACTAAGTTTTTGATAAATACTGTTTAAGTTAACTCAAAGCTTAAAATCCATTTAAATATTTCTGAATAATCAAGGCACCATGTATGGAGAGAAAAGTTTCAGAAGTCTTCATTTCTTTTATAACTAAAGCCATATATACAAATAGCCATTTATATAACATGAAGAAAAAAATCCTCAAAATATAATAAGAAAAAGCACATCTCTTTTTCCTCAAATTCCATTCCTTTCATGTTCAAAAAGAATAAAAAAAACCTGTCATCTCTCAGGTGACACAAGTGAAAGGATCTTAAAATAATGGTTACTTTTATGAATAAGCTGTTTAAGAATGACACACTTACTATGACATGATGGGCATCTCTTCCCATTGTAGGAAAATCTACTTAGTGTCATATCAAAGTCTGTTATTACCTGTAAGAAAAGGGAGAAAGACTTTATGTAAACATAGCTACCACAGCAGAGGGACTGTGTGCTAAACAAATGCATAGTGTGTACTTCCTAGACGTACTTGACTGTGCTTGGTTCTGGGCCCTTATTATAGTTACTCTCTCTATATATGAGTTTTTGAATGCAGCTCATGTATAAAGTTCTGGGAATGACCCTAACTACAAGGTGATACCTTAAGTGCCCTAGCCTTGTCACCAAATAAAATCTGAATAAGCAGTATAGGATTTGTAATTGTATGTGATATGCTTACTGTTCTATTTAGCAACATTGTATAATTCCAACCCACTTGGATCAATGTACAAAAACATAATGTAAGTAATTAAACTAGAACAGCTCTTAGTTACTAACACTGTGGAATTCTGGATTTGTCTATTTAAGGTAAATTATACCAATGAATGAATGACACATGGAAAGAGTTGGCCAGCTTTAGGACTAAGCTAAGTATTATTTTTTTCAAAACTGTCTAAAAAAAAAAAAAAAAAAAAAACCCGAACGAATATTTTTCACTGGATATCCAGACTGTGCTGGCTTTATTTACATTTAAAACATTCATTTAAAAAAAGATTTTTTTTTAAATTGGTTATCTTGTAATGACACTATATCTTAATTTGAACTATTATGATTTACTTAATTAAAAGATGAAAGAGCAACTTGAGTGTATACCTTTTAATATTATCTTAAAATAATTTAACACTTGTACACACTGTCACTGTTAGTTTTATAATATAAAGTCTAAACATAAGATTATTTCAAGTCTATTAATTTTTTTGTTTTTTACATACACACACAGAGCATCTGCCAGTTCAATGTTTCTTATACATACAGTTCAGTGACACTGGTAACGATCATCATGTTGTGCAACACTATCACTATTTGTTTCCAAAATATTCCATTACCATTACCAGATACTCAGCACCCCCTAAGCCATGACCTCTCCTTTCGCCCTTTACATCTGCCTATTTTAGATATTTCATATATAAGTGAGATCATATACTATTTAAGGCTATTAATTTCTGTTTCCATTGGTATATTTTAGATATATTTAGACATATGTCTCAGATTTTAGGTTCCTGAAAGGTAAGGAAAGCTTGTCTACCTAAACTTACTTTACTCAGATGTTAACAAAATATGGTAATGAATAATTATTAATAATAAAGACTTCTTGATAATTATTTACCTGAAGTTTGGTAGGTCCTCCTTTGATAAGACCACAGATAATTTCTTCTACTCTTGTGGGGTTCCTGATGTGAACGGAATTTTTCTGGAATTCAGGCATCTGAAAATAAAAAGAAATTAACTAACTGTTTTTAATGCCTTTTTTCCTAGCTTCCTCTGATACTAAGCAGAAGCCTGTATTATTTAAAGATATAACGTATGATGAGATATAAAACCCACTGTATTAAATCCCACTTACCCACATGTGTAATTTGCATCTAGAATAGGATATAACTACATTCATAACTCATTTATTTTATCAGAAAGCATACCTTTTTCTAAT